GGGAGGGGCCCCACCCAGCTCTGAAGGAGGAAAAGTTGTTTGTAGTTGGGTTCGCTTGTGGTGCTTTTTAATGTTGGTTCTGGTCCTTCCTTGATTTAACAAGTGCCACCACTCCTTATGGAGTGCTACCATGTGGTATCACTTTTAATCCTTAAAACCACCTTGCACGATAGATATTAATATCCCCCATGTCACAGCTAGTAAGCGACAAAGCGAGAATCTGAACTCCAGCCCTTGGACTCCAGGGTCATTGCTTTTTTATTACACCTGAGCCCCAGGAGGCTGCAAAGAATGATGCTCAGTCAGGATGCTGGGCAGGGCTCAAAAGCTGGAGTGTCACCGAAGAATACTAAGATTTGCCTCCTAGAAGTGACCCTTCAGGTTGGTGGCACCCTTTCCTTCAGGTTTCTGTGCCCCCTCCTGAAACCTGCATGGACCCAGGAGGAGGCTGAAGCTTAGGATGAGATACCTTCCCTAGCATGTTAGAGCAGGAAGTGGCAGCCCTGACTAGAGCCCCGGCTGCCTGACTGCTCAGTGCTCTCTCGGCTCTGGTCGTTGACAGGATAGCAAGTTTGGAGAAGCCCTTTTTCCCAGCAGTCCTCCTCTTAAAAGAAAATCCTGGGGCGCCTGGGTGGCTCAGTCGTTAAGCGTCTGCCTTCAGCTCAGGTCATGATCCCAGGGTCCTGGGATCGAGTCCCACATCAGGCTTCCTGCTCGGCAGGAAGCCTGCTTCTCCCTCTCCCACTCCCCCTGCTTGTGTTCCTGCTCTCGCTATCTCTCTCTCTGTCAAATAAATAAATAAAATCTTTAAAAAAAAAAGAAAATCCTGCATTGTATGGAATGTAATGAGTAGCTCAAAATTGTTGCTAATCAGAGACGCAAGCTAAGACAATAACATGAGACCCCTTTAGACCTATCGGGCTTGCAGTCAATAGGAAGCTGGCAACTGCCGAGTGTTGGCCAGGAGCGCCCCTGTCCTGCTGGCAGGAGGGTAGATGGAGCAGCTTTCCTGGAGAGGACCCTGGCACAGTGGCATCGAACCAAGTAACGGAAACCCAAAACCCAGGGATCCCACTGCATGTACATGCCCCAGAGAAATACTCACACCCATCCAAAAGGGCACATGCAAGACGATGTTCTTTGAGCATCGCTTTTGGTGGCTGGGACATGGAGGCTGCCTGAGTGGGTAATCTCTGGGAGAGCAGAGAGGGAAAAATGTGGTGGATGTACCATGGAGAATTATATAGCAATTCCTAAAAATGGAATTATTGTATACTTAGCAGTATGAGTTTATCTTAAAATGCAGTTATTTGTGAAAAGAAGTAATAAACAGAAATACATATGTGTGTATGTATATAAAGAGAAAACCCTGCTTGGCTCAGTTCTGGAAAGCAAGAACCTCTGTCTTGTATCCTCCTCAGGAGCCGGCATGCAGCTGGGCACAAAGTAGGTGTGTACACATCACATGTTTGTTGAATAGATGAATAGAGGAGTGCCTGGAGCCAGGCTGGATGAACTATCCAGGTCATCCTGTGTGACCCTGTCTTAGAATCCCTGGGTATTGGCCAACCTGCTACTGCCAGCTTCAGACTAGAACACATTGGTCCATCAAAGGGGTGGAAGTAGGGTAAGGTGGCAGGCCAGAGTCACCCTGAATTGAACACCTGTTATACGCCAGGTACTGGGCTGGGATCCCAGCAAAGTAGAGGTTAGTGTCCTTATTTGATAGGTGAGAAAACTGAGACTCAAGAGAATTGATTTGCCCAGGATTATCTAGCTGGACTAGAATTTGAATCCAGGTCTAATTTATTCCAAAGTCCTTTATTCATCCTTTTCATTACGCTACACTTGGCCCTCAAGGGACATGAGGAGGAGGCATCTCCATCCTCTTTCTTCGGCCCTGCCTCCAGAGCAGACCTGCTTCCAGAATTCTCAGGACCCAGGCAGGGAAACATGGGTCACTGACCCACTGGAGACAGGAGGGATTCTGACTGCACTGAGTTTTTCCTGGCTGTGTCCTGCTTTCTCATTTCCCTGCCCTGACTCATCTCCTTTGGTTTCATATTATAGCAGCCCCCAAACTGTCTTCTTGTTCCCACTTTCTACTCTCTCCCCTTTCAGACTCAACTTGCTTAAGCTCTCAGGTTAATTTTGTAATTTCCTTTGCCCGGAAACCTTCGGTGACAACCCCTCTGCCTGTGGTGAGAGCCTAAGGAATGCCAAAGAGGTTTCTTCTCTGTTGCCAGCTTTAGTTGATTAATGGTGGCCTATTGGAACGAGTGTTGAGGAGGATTCTGAGGCTTTTTCAAAGGCTCCACAGGAGAGAGCTGCCAGGAGAGATTCACGATTTCTGACTTAGATGCAAGAGTGTAGGACAGTACCCTGCATGCCAGACATTTGTCAACCCTTTAGATTGGGTTTTTAACCTAAAATCTGTTACTGATTTCATAAGAGCTATGAACTCCTGGACATTGTATGTAAGGAAAGAAAAATTTCTTTTTTGAGTATGTGTGTTCCTATGCACTTTTCTGGAGAGAGTCATCAGCTTGAAGCCTATGGCTCAAAAAGGTTTATGCCCACCGCCTTGGTAGCTTGGCTTTAGAGGTCCTGTTGTAGACCCTGCATACCTTGGCAGCTGCTTGTTTCTTTGCTGTGAACTGTCACCTGGATGAATCTACCTTCCCATTGCTTCCCTGCTTCTGTCTTGTTCCTTTCCTTTTGACTGGTGTGCACTTCCTCCCTTGCCTCTAAATTGTTCCTGTTCTTCAAGGCACACTTCATGTCTTTTCCTTCAGAAACCTCTTTGTTTTGCTTCAGCTGGTCCTGATTTTCTAGCCTTCTGGACTGAGGACCAGAGAAATGAGGCTATCTGATCAGAATCACAGGATCAGAACTCCAGGCTCTAAACTTTCAGACCCATGCGCTTTGCACAGCACCTGCTAAACCAGGGCAGGTTTTGTAAATTAGGAAGGAGTTTTTGTGCAAAAAGAGATTTTTGTCTCATAGGGCTCTTAATATTCTTGGCCATGGAAAATTGTTTCTCCAAAAAGAAGTTTAACTGTGTGTGGTAAAGAGGCCCAGGAGTTTCACCAGAAGAAATCCTCCAAATTAGAGGTGGGAGATGAAGGTTTCCCAACCTCCTCTCTTGACAATCCTCCCTCACATTTTGGGCCCAGTCATGCTGCCTTCTCTGGATGAGAGGCTTTACCTCTGCCTGACATACTCCTTCCCCTCCCTCAACCCCATTTATCTGGCAACTCTCTGGCATCACCTCCTCAGGGAGGACTTCCCAGTCGCTGAGTCTGGGTTAGGTTCCCTGGGTGTGCATCTGCAGCCTGCGCTCCCCCATTCACAGAGCTCCTCCAATGCATGCTTGTGTGCTTGCTGGCCCTGGGCTCCGACAGTGCCTATCTCCTCCCTGTGTCAGCGCAGGCCAGATGAGTGCGACATGCTGTGGCTCCTCCTCCCAAGCCTTGTGCCCCTGCTTACTTCAGCCGCACAGAGCTTTTATTTGACTTGATCCAGACAAGCAGTTACTGCACATTGTGGCACAACCCCGCCTCCAGACTCTCTGCTGGTGCCTTTCATTTGGAACCCGCTAAAGAGTCAGCAGCCTCCCAGTTCCCCCAAACACCCTCCACCCATTCCTCATAGGCAGATCCTGCCTTGTTGGCGAATCGTTCTTGACTTTTGGTCTCACGCTCTCCTGGCCTCCTGCAGCACTTCTGGTGGGAAACCACATACTCCAGGCTTTGATTTCCTACTATCCTTAGTTCCCCCCCTCCACAACTAAATCATTTGCTCCCTAGGGCAGACCCCATGTCTTCTCACCCCCCACCCCAGAATCTAGCACAGGACCAAGGACATACAGTGATTTGCTAAAGTCAGTTAAGTCTCTTGTCTTCCACATTCCATGGAGCTAGGTTCGGTCTGGAGGAAGGGCTGTGAGGTGACAGGAATTCTGGCTATAGAGCCATTATCAACCTGAACTTCAGTCACTGATCGCCCTTAGCTGGCTTTGTGACCTTCAGCGAGTCATTTCACCTCACTGGGCCTGTCACCTCATCCATGAAAAGAGGTTAACATCAGTTCCTTAAACTTGTGTGAAGAGTAAATGAGAGCATATGTGTCAAGTTGTGAAGGCAGTTCCTGCTTACAGTAGGTGCTCAGTAAGAGTTGGTTCTTTTTACTCCCTTTCTCTCTGTCCAGCCCCACATTGTAGGGCCCCTTGTTCCCAGGACCCAGAATTCAGGATTTTAATGATATATTTAAAACCCTGGAGCCAGGATCCAAGACTGTTGAACTCCTACTGTGTGCTAGGCACTCCAGCAACTATTGAACTCCTACTGTGTGCTAGGCACTGGCATAGAGAGTCAAATAGGCTCATGTGGACTTTCCTAGAAACCTAATCTAGCATTTCTAACATTCTTCCCATCTTTCCTTGGGTTCAAGATTTTCAGTTTCCAAACAGCCACCATACAGAGAAACTTGAGGATGTGATCCTTTGGTAAACTGGGAACTACCTAGATAGGCAGTGTCATTGGGCATTCAGTGCTCCTCCATGAAACATAGGGGAATTCTAAGGACAGAGAAGAGATCTCTGGACTGGATGAGCCAAGGAAGCCTTCTCAGGAGGGAGTTCTCAAGCCAGGATTGTACCCCATAGCATGCTAGTAGGATTAGAGTAGGCAAAGAATCAGGGAAAGAGCATTCTGGACTAAGGGAATGGGAGTGTCAGGGTATTAAAGTAGGGAAGACACATTCTTTCCTCAGAAGGTAACAGCAGGGGTCAGACTCATTCAAGGGAAGAATGAGAGAGATAGGAGAGGCCTAGGGTGAGGGGAGAGTGGCCAGAGGAGCTGGGGTGGGTACTTAGTTCTCAAAGGCCTTTGACTATTTCCAGATTCACCTAGCCTCCCTGTTTGTTGACTGTCTCATTTCTTCCACTCCTACTTCCGCAATAAGCCATATACTGAAAATATTCCTCTGTTTCTTTCTAGGCTCTTGTCGGAAGGTGCAGATGTTAATGCAAGGCACAGGCTTGGCTGGACAGCACTCATGGTGGCAGCCATCAGCCGAAATGACAGGTGAGAGATCTTCTACACAGGGCTCCCTTAGCCTGAGCCTTGCAGACCACATTCCAGAACCCTCTCCCAACCTGCTTGTCTCCTTGTTGTCTTCCCCAGAGGCAGGGTGATGGACTGAGCTGAAGGTCAGGTCTATACCTGGTATAATGAAAGTATAGAAGATGGGGAAAGGGAAGAGATAGCCTTGGATCCTGGCTCCATCTTTCATTTGCTTTGTGACCTTAGGCGAGTCATTTGCATTATTGAAGCCATGAAATGTTTGCAAGCCTGTGTTAAGTGGTTGAAGGTACACATGTGAGTTCCCTTCATGTTTTTGTTATCCACTGTCTGTCCATGTGGAAGAAGCTAGTCACCGTCCTCAGCGAGGGCTCCACTGGGCTATTTCTATGAAGATTCTGATGGAAACTGGGGGGTAGGGGGGTGGCACTGCTCCCCTATCATTGGAGGCCCTGCTCTTTTCCTGCCCACTTCGCCATTCCCTCAGAGGGAAGCTATTTTGTAAAGGTTGAAATAGTCCCCTATGGGTAGAGAGTTATTTCCAATGCTCACAATTGCCACAATTTGCCAAAATTCTCATTTTGCAGTTGAGAGAACTGAAGCCCAGATGGAAAAGATGATTTGTCTAAGGTCACACAGGAGTTAGAATTTGGTCTGGCTTGCAAAATTTGTGTTTTACTTTACCTCACTGCTGCCTCCGTGTGCCAGATCCTGGATGCTACTTCTTCATCCCAGTCTCTAGCTGTAGTTACACTGTAGTTATGCAAAAGAATTGATTAAGAGCAAAAAGAAATGCTTTCATAGAAAGCAGACTGGGCACTTTAGTAGCAGCCATGGAAATTGATAGTTTGAAGTACCAGTTTTAATTTTTTCTTCAAGCTGATCATTAAGGCTTTTGTCTGCCACTACTGGCCTCCTTTGGAAGGATCATAAATGTGGTGGAAACCGACAAAACAGGGATTTTCTAATATAGAGGTGGCACTGCATCAGACGGGCTGAGAGACTTAGCTGTACTTGAGATAGGTCTCTCTCCTCTGTTCCTCTGTCCTGAGCCTGTTCTCAGCACTCCATTTCCTTATTTGCCTCTTAAGCTCCAAGCACTTAAAAGAAAACTTGGTGTAAATAGGCTTTGCAGTTGAGAGGCCTGGAATCCAGTTCTGGTTCTGACCCTTAGTTGAATTTCAGAATTCTGGGGGTACCCTGTTTCTTCATCTGAAATCAGTTATTTTCACAAGCATGTGGTAAATATCTACTCTGAGCCAGACTTTGTGCTAATCATTGGAGAATCAGAGACCTTGGGAGCTCAAGGTCCAATGTAGAAAAGAAAGGCAGGTAAGTGGTCTAATGTAACCACTGATGTCAGAGCCATGTGGACAGGATATTATCAGAGCAGAGGGTATGAGGGGACTGAATCTGGCAGCAGAGTAGATTCCCGCTATATTTTTGCGAGAGCCCAGTGAGATAGTGTATATGCTACCTGTTACAAATGACCAATTGTTATTCTCTGTTACCCACATTAGCTGTGTCTACACACAAACGTGTTTATTCTACCACTGATACTCCACCCACCACCACCTCCACCCCACCCACCGGTCTTCTTTCCCAGCTGGCAGCTCTCTCCATCCACAAGAGATAGCAAGCAGGTGGTGGAGAAAAGGGAAGGGGGTGTGTGGCCCTTCTAGATGTAGTATTTCCAGCATTGAGACAGATGAGGAAATAACACTATACTTAAGAGTATTGTCAATCAGTGTGCAGCTAGATGGTAGATGTGCTTTGGGGACACTTTTCTCTAATTCTAATGACTTCTTGCCTTAACTGATTGCCCTGTCTTTATCCAGTGCCATTAGCAAATCAGTGATGCTTGTTGAGCAAAGTGAGAGTGTTGGCTTGTATTTACTTGTTTTGGTTCTTGGAACTAATTATTGGTGTTTTAAACATCCATTTTGTGTCCTTCTCTTCCTTCCAGTGTCTAGGGACAGATTTTTATTGAAAGTGGCATACCTTTTAGGTTAATTTATTCATATCATAATTTTTTTTTGGCACCTACTGTCTGCCAGGCACTGTTCCTGACAGACAAATATCCCTACCTTCATAGAGCTTACTTCTAGCGGTGGTCCCTGGGTAGTAAATGATAAATATATTTATATATTTATATAAATAAGATATATACTATATTAGAAGGTAAGAAGTGCTATGGAGAAAGGAAAATAGAACCTGGTAAAAAGGAATGCCTGAAGTACCTTGATCAGGGTGAGTAGGCCTCATTAGTAAGGTGCTATGGGTGTGGTCTTAAAAGATGATCATGTTCATACCAGCACAGTCTGCCAATAAGTTTCTCCTTATTAGAAGTATACTGATCCTTATTTCATCAGTTACCAAGCCCTTCTGGAATCATATTGGCCAGGACTGAAATGCCACCATTTCAATTAGACTTGGATGAAGGGAGGATAGAGGGACAGCACCCCTTGCTTCAAGGCTGAAGCAGAGAACCTTCACCTCCATTAGATGTTGTCAGCCCACAAGCTCAAAGGAGAGGTCCTGAGAGGATCCAGTCATTTCACCCTCAACTGCCTTTAGTGAGTGCCTGTCATGACTATGTCTTTAGGGATATAGCACAATAATCTCTATCATTAAGGAGACTAACATCTTGTGAACTGTTATTTGTATATGTATTTTTTAACTTAATTTTGAGTAGTAAAGATAGTACTATTTTATTTAATTTTTAATAAAAAATACAGTCTTATAGAACAAAATTTTAAAAGTATGTATGAGAACTTAACTTATAATTTATTCTCTCCTTTTATTTCCAAAAAGGGTTTGCAGTGACTCAAATTAAAATAAAAATATAAATGTACACAGGAGAGTTAAAACTGGATCAGGATCAGAAATCATATTGGTAAAAGGAAAGATAATTGTATCAGGATTGAACCAGAGATTTTCTTTTCTGAAAATAGGCTTATTGTTTTTGTAAAAATAATATAGAGAAGAAAGTAGCAGTCAACTGAATTCCCTCTATCTAGAAATTGAGCAGTGTATGTGTGTGATTTCACATAAATGGGACCATGCTATACTCACTGTAAGTCAGGTAATTAGTGGAATTAAGTATTACTTTAGATGAAGTTTCCTGATGAGCAAGGCAAAAAAAAAGGGATACAGAGAGTTTGGTTCTTCAGGAAAGAAGAACTTTGTTCTGACACCCCTTTCTATTATCATTTTATGTATCCAGCAAACATTTTTTAAAACTATACTATGTTTGGTGCTGATGTGCTGAGCTGTGACGGATTCAGATAATAAGCATCACAGCCTTTGCCTTAAGAAGCTTCCTTGGACTGCTGACATCAAGGACTCGAGTAACATGGTGGCCATTGTCTTCAGTAGCCGTTCTGCCAAAGATTTACCAACATTCTACTAGGATGCTCCTTTGGCCAGCCCTACCTAGTAACAGCTTGGGTGAAGTAGTGACTTGAGGAGCAGTTGCTGGGGGCTGACCCTTTTTCCATAGTGAGGCCTCCATAAGCCTCATGCTATAGGCACTTGTTTAGCTTGAGTCTGGGTGCCTCATTCTGTGTTGCACTTTGACCCAGCCCAGCTAAAGGCTAAGCCACAGGGTCCCAGGATGATCACTGTGACTTAGCAGAGCCTTCACCAGCTCGTGCAAATATACCCAGCCTGCAGCTAAATTCAATTAGTTTTTCTTTAAGAAGAGAAAGAAATCCAATTTTACCAAACATGGACAGACGGTGGAAGGCACTTTGATGTTACAACCTCTCAGTGATGCTTTACTTAGTCACAAGTTCATAAGCAAGAAGGCTTAATTACTTGGGAAAACACAGGATTAAAACTGGACACAATGGCTGAGTATCCGCTCTTAGGCGACTTGATTCGAACCCATGTACCCAGTTCGTGTGTGGTGCAAACTTTGATGTGTGCTATGACAAGCTGAAAGTCATGACCCCCTCAGGGAAGCTCCTTCACATGGCATTTGCAGGATGTGTAGGCGGAGAGGCAGGGCCTGCCAGGCCTGTTTGCTCAACTTTGATGTCCAAGCAGCCACAGGCCCCACTGTTTGCTCTTTCACTGAAGGATGGATTGGGAGCCTCCTACCTTTCCCAGTGGACAATGGCCAGCAATGGAGTGTGACGACTGTTGACCATTCCAGGAGCCTGGTGGACCAGAACAGGGCTTTTGGGAGGTGCAGAGCCTGGGGGGCCAAAAGCTGTTTGTAAGACGGCCATTTCTCCAGATGTAGCTTTCCTTAAAGTCTAGTGTTGGTTGGGTGCTTACAGTGGAGGTAAAAATAGCTCATGAGTTTTAGCAGGTATCAGCTACTGCTTGACTCTCCATCCAGTGGCACTAAGGTATTTGTAAACTGAAGGTTTAAGTCTATCCTGTTTCCTTTATCAGCATGTATATGCAGGGGATAGTGGTTTGGCAGAAAAATGGTATGATTTAGATCCTTATAATTTTTAATTTTTCAAAAAAAGAAACTGTCAAAACACACATCTGATAAAGGAATATTATCCAGAAGATATAAAGAACTCTTATAAATCAAGAATAAAAAGACAACCCAATTTTTAAAAAATGGGCAAAAGATTTTAGCAGACATTAACCAGAGAAGAGATGGATGGCAAATAAGCACATGAAAAGATACTCCGCATTAGTCATTTAGAATGGCTAAAATTTAGAAAAGCTGACAATACCAAGTGCTGACAGGGATGCAGAACAATTGCCATCATTGCTGATAGGAATGCATTATTATGCTGTGACCACTTTGGAAGACACTTAGGCAGTTTCTCATAAAGGTGAAACATATATTTACCATGCAACCCAGCAATACCAGCTCCTGTACCAACTTTATCCATGAGACATAACAACACACATCTTCAAAAAGACCTGTAGCTTTGTAGACATAGTAGCTTTGTTCAAAATTGCCAAAAGCTGGAAATTACCCAAATGTCCATCAGCTGGTGAATGGACAAATTATGGTACATCCATACAGTGGA